TCTGGTTGTGCGGGGCGATTGGCCAGGAGTGTAGACTTTGGTACTGTTTGAGTCTGGTTGTGCGGGGCGATTGGCCAGGAGTGTAGACTTTGGTACTGTTTGATTCTGGTTGTGCGGGGCGATTGGCCAGGAGTGTAGAACCTATAAAGCTAGTGACTTACATGTGGATTGCAGTGTTGGGTGCTACTTATTTATGTCGGACCTATGAGGTTTTACATTTATTTAAGGAATAACTTTCTATCTAGGTCAGACTAATGTGATAACTCCTGCTGAACATGTGTAACTTGAATAGATGGTAAAGCCAACCAAAATAGACAAATATTTAGCTCACCTGACCCGAAGAAACAGGTGAGCGATACAGGGCCTCTTGTTTATATATACATGTATACAAAACTATTTTGCGACTGTTTCATAACTATTCATTAATCAGATCAAGGGACACAAGTTTCATTTTCAAAACTTAATAACCTGATCGATTCAATTAACGTATCCGCTTGCAATCTGCATAAGCCTTGGTAAAGTTACAAAGCATGTTCAAATGAATGACCTTCATCCATACTCAAGATCACAGGGGTCAAATAACCATAAGATCTAGGGCAATGCTATTTGGCTAGTATAAAGCTTGTAAGAATGGCAACCAAATTTGTCCAGATGAAGTTCCTTCACCAAACTCAGGTCAGGTGTGTGAAAGAAACTTTCAGCGACTTACCACAAGGCTTGGGGTGATGATATTTGGCCAGTAACATCCTAGTTTCAGTAAAAGCCAACCAATATTCAAAGTCATAGGAGTCAAATGTGTTAAAAATAATCAAACAACTTCTGAATTACCAAAAGTCTTGGGGTAGTGATATATTCATTACCAATAATGAAGAGCTGTAAAGTTTGTTGAGATGTATGACCTTCAACCATATACAAGGTCACGGGGTCAGATGTGTTGGAAAACATTTTTAACAATTCGAATACCCACAAAGCCTAGGATAATATGTGGCCAGTTGCATGCTGGGAGAAGTTCATGTTGATGTGAATGATCTTGACCCACTTTCAAGGTCAGAGGGTCAAATGTGTACCAGGCCAGCAGTGTAGGCTCATCAGTCCTTTTTCTCGTTCTTTTCCAGTTTAGACAGGTTAAATCCTAACTTTATCAGGTTCAATCCTAACTTTGTTAGCTCACCTGACCCACAGAGCCAGGTGAGCAGTGTAGGCTCATCAGGCCTTTTTCTCGTTCTTTTCCAGTTTAGACAGGTTAAATCCCAACTTTATCAGGTTCAATCCCAACTTTATCAGGTTCAATCCTAACTGTATTAGCTCACCTGACCCACAGAGCCAGGGGAGCCATTGCTGTGGCACAGCCTGGTTGTCCTCTATTGTCAACTTTTCCTTTTAATGAAATCTACTTAAATACCAAAAGGCCTTCTTTCATGATATTTGGCTCGTAGCTTCTTCGGATGGAGCCCAACAAAGTTAGGAAACAAAAATGACCGTGATCACTCCCAAGGTCACAGGTCAAGTATGTCTTGAACTTCAAATGGCTTCTTCTAAAGAACCAAAAGGTCTAGTCATGATATTTGCCTGGTAGCTTTCTGGGTTGGAGCCTTGTAGATTTCACAAACAAACTATCCTTGACCATTTCTTAGATAGAAGTGTATGAATTCGACAGATTTTGAATTCAAATAACAAATTCCATGTGAGCTATTAAGGCCCCTGCAGAGCCTTTAGTGTTTTACATATGTATAACTCAATCACCTTGCCATTACATAGATTACTGATCCTTATCACCACATGTCACAAAGATAACTGATTCTACCTTAGTCATCATGTCATTAGAAGATTACTGACCATATTTGAGATCACTGCTTAAAATAAATGGGGGGGGGGGGGGGGGGGGGGTACTAGAGTTCTGGATGCACACAATGTAATGACACCTTCTCTCACAAGAACAGGGCGTGACTGCCTGGAAGTTATGCTGAAGCCATCTACGGACAAGTGTATTAGTATGTCCTGCACTGTACTAGTTAGGATATATTAAGGTCACTGATAGGCTTTGGTAAATAGGTTATCTAGACTAAAACATCGTCACTAAGATACTGTTATTGTATGTGTTTGATGGTCACTGATAGGCTTTGGTAAATAGGTTATCTAGACTAAAACACCGTCACTAAGATACTGTTATTGTATGTGTTTGATTTATCCCCGTACAAAGGAAATTTGAAGGAGTTGGAGTACAGTTTCTTTTAAGTTGCCCTTGGTGCATCTCGGATAATCTGGATAAATTGTGGTAATAAATGGTATGGTAACTTTTTGTGAACTTAAATATATCACGCCCTGGTCCCGGTTGTTCAAATTCTGATTAGCTAATTTAATGCAAAATCATGATTTTCTAAGAGAATTTCGAATGCCAAAATATTTACAAAATTTTGTTGGACATCCAAAGAACTTCCATTTTGAGATGTTTTCATAGTTTGGCAAACATTCCCAGTACGCTTAACACGTAATGTATGTCTTTTTAAATACATATTTTGTGGTAATGCGATAATTGGTCAGTCCCCAATAAAATGTTTTTACTTCAACACGTTTTAATGCTTTATTTTCTAAATTCTTACAAATGTAAAATCGGTAACTCGTTAGTTTCCACCCTCACCCGGTAGAGTGTGGAACGTGCAGTGCCATAGTTTCGTACACAGGGCATCGCCAAGGTTAGAACACCAGCACGAGTTACAGCCATCCACATCCGGGAACATGTCGTGGACGTTGTACTTCCTTCCGTTGTACGTACATTCGGTCACATCCCGTTGGTCGGTAGTTTTGACGTCACACACTGCGTCGGTACAGAGCGCTCCACCATGTGCCGAACAAAAGCACGAGTTACAACCATCCGCGGTTTTCCAGCTGGCACCCGCCCAGTAAACCTTTCCGTTGTAGTGGCACCCTCCTGTCTGACCACCACTAAGGAGGTCAAAGGTTGTCGTGCGTGGCTGGGTTGTGGGCAAATCACCTACAGTAACGATCATGTAATTAAATTGAAACAATAGCACATCGCACATTGAAACATGCATTTTGTTAAAGTGCTGTTTTGAGATATTTCGCCTTCTTAAAAGCCAAGGTCATGTGACAACAATATATTCACTTGCGAATGAACAAAGTGCGAACCGTTCAAAGTGTGTCGACACTAACATCACACCATAGACATGTACAACACTGTATCTGGCTACACCATAGACATGTACAACACTGTATCTGGCCACACTGCTTAAACCACATATCACCAAAGGAAAGACATGGTAGGCGATGGTAACAAAGACTATGTACTATGGTCTTCCCGTGTTCACACGACTGACGCTATACAAAGGGAATACGTTTGACCACGTCCTATTTACTCGGGAAGTTATCAAATAACAATTGGTGTTCACACATATATATATGTGACCTTCGTTAATTCACGCAAAAAATCCTTGGAAACACAGGTAATATGGTTGATACTTTGATTCGAGTAGAGATCGGTGGAGCAAGATATTGATATGTTTATGACGGTAAATCGTTGAAACCGTTGCACAGGAAGTGATTTGTACTGTGGTCCGGGAAGTCATTAGTACCGTAGTCTGAGGAGAGATTGGTACTATGGTCCGGGAAGTCATTGGTACTGTAGTCTGAGGAGAGATTGGTACAACGGACGGGAATTCATTGGTACCGTAGTCTGAGGAGAGATTGGTACCATGGTCCGGGAAGTCATTGGTATTGTGGTCCGGGAAGTCATTGGTAGTATAATTCGGGAAATTATTGGTTCTGTGGTCCGGGAAGTCATTGGTACTATGGTCCGGGAAGTCATTGGTACTGTGGTCCGGGAAGTCATTGGTACTGTAGTCTGGGAAGATATTGGTACTATGGTCCGGGAAGTCATTGGTACTATGGTCCGGGAAGTCATTGGTACTATGGTCCGGAAAGTCATTGGTACTATAGTCCGGGAAGTCATTGGTACTGTGGTCCGGGAAGTCATTGGTATTATGGTCCGGGAAGTCATTGGTACTGTGGTCCGGGAAGTCATTGATACTGTGGTCCGGAAAGTCATTGGTACTTTAGTGCAGTTTACTGTAAAAAACTCGACCTACGAGGAAATAAAGAATGTCTGTCTGTCTGTCTTGTTGATTCTAAAATTTTATTTTAAAGAAAAAAGAACAAGAATTGCTCTATTTTTTCTCCAACTGTTTATCTTATTTTACTTTTTATTTTGAAATTGTTTAAAATTTTAATTAGCTATGTTTAAGGTATGATATCGGCGTCTAGATTATCGTATTTTGTATGTCCAGCCTTGACCAGTTTTACTCACGTCCGACGAGACAGAACATTTCAGTGCACCCTGCATAGCCTCCATTTGAACAGAAACAATGGTTACAACCGTCCGCCGCGGCCCACGTGTCTCCCGGTTTGTACGACACACCGTTCACCTGACAGTGACCTGTAATTACAACCATGTACGTTATAGAGTTATAATGTAAAAGAGTGCAAGCTAGGAATGGCACACTCTTCGTCTTCCTGAAAATACTACCTACACCAACGACGCAACCCAGGTATCATATTCCGTCTTTGCGTATTGCAGAGTTATCTTCTCTTGTGAACCGGTATTGATTGTTACGTCATTGGTTTGTGTGAGGAAATTACGTCGTTTTCTCAAAAATTGATGACGTTACTCTCACAAACAAATGACGTAACAATCAATACCTGCTCACAAGAGTAGATAACTCTGCAATACGTAAAGACTAGGCAGCCACGCCACAGAGGGAGCTGATATAAAACATACACTTTTTTACTTAATTCCAGTCTGTAAATTATATAGGTTGACAAAGAATGCAAACTGTGGCTAAAGCGTAAAAGTGATTTGTATTAAAACGTAGTTAACGTATAACAAACAAAACAGCAATATGTTCGGGATGCGGCTACTTATTATAAATTACCTTCAACTATTATAAATTAAACCTACACAATTGCTAATTTTTTATTGTTGCAACACATGTCCTGTATACAATAGACTTGACCCAGTAAACTAGTATATACCTACTTGGATCTGGTGTCGTGTAGCCGGCTGCACACGCTTTCTCTGTGCATATTACGTGACTGTTGAAACAGACGCAACTGTTACATCCGTCGCTTGATGCAAATGATTGGCCACTCGAGTAATAGGCGCCATCGTTAATACAGGCCGCTGTAAGAAAGGTCGGACTCTTTATACCGTCACACCGCTATACCAAGTAAACACAAGCTTCCAAATAATGACACCAATAGTCGTATTCCCAATGACTATGAAATACATCATTTCACATATATTAACGAATAAATTATTCCCACAATATCAATTTAATTAAAGCAGAATTTTTATGGCGATTCTTTCGCGAACTTAGTGACCTCCCTGTGTGTACTCGTTTCTTTCTAGAACTTAGTGCACCTCCCTGTGTGTACTCGTTTCTTTCGAGAACTTAGTGAACTCCCTGTGTGTACTCGTTTCTTTCGAGAACTTAGTGACCTCCCAGCTGTGTGTACTCGTTTCTTTCGAGAACTTAGTGCACCTCCCTGTGTGTACTCATTTCTTTCGAGAACTTAGTGCACCTCCCTGTGTGTACTCGTTTCTTTCGAGAACTTAGTGACCTCCCAGCTGTGTGTAATCGTTTCTTTCGAGAACTTAGTGACCTCCCTGTGCGTACTCGTTTCTTTCGAGAACTTAGTGACCTCCCTGTGTGTACTCGTTTCTTTCGAGAACTTAGTGACCTCCCTTTGTGTACTCGTTTCTTACCTCCGTTGCCATTAGGCACGTTTCCTACGCACACCTCTTTGCTGCACGAGACTTTCCCTACACTGCACGAACACATATTGCAGCCGTCAACGGCGGTAAAGCTATGTCCGTCCATGAATATGTTACCGTAGTACGTGCATGTAGGTTTCGGCGCTGAAAAACATGGATAACCGTAAAATGTTTCAGTTTCCCATTCTTTATGCTTAAAATCATGGTAAAAATCACGTTATTATGGTTGCGCGAGCTTTACATCTTTAATCAAAATCAAAGAATAGTTATGCTTCCATTTACAGAACGAGTAGATCGCAGTTCGAATACCGGGAACATTATATCTGTATTTTTACGAATTAACATCGTAGTGAACATAAAGACATTCACAGATGTTTGAGGCCGTGCCTGTTTTAGATATGTCTGGTATAGTCTGACCCGAACATGAACATGGTTTTGAGGTTCACATACACACTTAACAGGATACTCAACATATAGTTAATTTTCGCAACTTATTTTAAGGCTTACCCATTATTTGTTGATATCAAAATGCGAGAAATGTGCCAATAACAATGCATATAGACTACCCCCCTCCCCCAATGATGACTTAATAACTATAAAGAGACATAACCGAAATTAGTTTTGTTCGCGAATTGCTATGTAATAATAATACTTATAGTCCCTTGCCCTATACAATGGTGTTATGACCTATCATTTGTCCTTTGTAAGATAGAAATGTGGTCTTTGTTTGCTAATAATGTTTGAAAACATCTTAAGGAATCACACTTTTATAATTTTGAAACAACAATTTTGGAGTTTTGTCCGTTGAATGATATGGATCAAAGTCTCAAAGTATCATGGACAGCTAACTACTTACCACATGTATTAATGGTGTATTCTATACTTACGTTCCACAGGCCCTAGACAAAGCATTTCGGTGCATGAGACCATGCCGCCCCTGGAACACTCACAAGTGTTACACTTGTCCAGGGAGGGGAAGTGGTCCCCGACCCTGCGGACGGTACCATTGTACATACATGTGTTGATTTGACTAACCCCATCTGTAATAAATGAGGATCATAATATGTTTCCTTTTTTTCAGTTGGCGATGCAGTCTTTACTCCAGTTCTTATCAATGTTCAATGATTGATGTATAAAACTATTCATTTATTCAGCTGGTCACTTGCTGGAAAACCTACACAATCTCATTCTTGCGTTTATCTATATATAAGATATTTCCAAAAAATGTCTAAAGTAGATCGAAATATTTGTTGATATAGAGCGCAAGAGAAAGGTTCATATAAACCCTTTATAACCTTACAAAATTACACGCTTTGACCACAACAGATAATTTACGTTTAAAGTGATATTTCACATAAACCTTGCAGCGATAAGTTCAAATTACAAGGTTATTGTCAATCAAATGGTCTATTAGCAGACTCCATCACATATAAGTAAGGAAACTTATTTTGAAATGTGACACGTCGATGACGACTACGAAACAAAGTACGTATAGTTAGGGTTGGGGCACTCCAATGCTGCAGTGGAGCGAAACATGTACCGTCATTTGGAAAGTAGATCACTGCACCCAATGGGATTGAGATCTCAAAAAGAAAACTAATTCATAATGATCTAGCTCTAAGTAGGTCACTGCAACCAATGGGATTGAGATCTCAAAAAGAAACCCTATTTCATAATGATCTAGCTCTAAGTAGGTCACTGCAACCAATTGACTGATCTCAAAAAGAAACCCTATTTCATAATGATCTAGTTCTAAGTAGGTCACTGCAACCAATTGACTGATCTCAAAAAGAAACCCTATTTCATAATGATCTAGCTCTTAACTTTACTTCTACAAGAAACAACCTTATCTGTTACGGTCCACTGACGCATTGCAGGGGGAACCGCTCCTCTACAACTTATAATACTTACTATCACACATCATATAAGTACACGCTGTCATCCCGCTGTTACAGAAACAAGTGTTACAACCGTCTGTCGAATTGAATTTGTCGCCGGAATTATACTCGACACCGTCGTACAGACACGTTACTGTAACATTGGAATGCAATATCGTAATTATGAGTCACAATAAACAACAACGATAATAACAATAACAATAACAGAGACTATCGAAGAAATTACAAAAGTTTTAAATTTTAGTTCGAACTCAAAATCGATAAAACCAAATTGAAAGCATGTTCGATGCTGTTTTCAAGGCATGTTGCTGTAAAAAGTGGATGCAATCTCGTAACTATGTCTCCATTAATAGAAATACGTAATAACAACACCGGATATAATATGGAAGTATAAACAAAACCGTTATTCATACACAAAACCGGCCAAATTAGATTCAAAATACATCCAACGCCATTGTACCGCCACGTTACTGTAACAATGGGAAGCATTCTCGAAATTATCAAAGTCCCCATGAATTATTATCATTTTATCAGAAAGTTGTGATACATGCAGTTATAAACGCAGCTAACACTTTTGATAATATCCACATAGAGGTAGGCTTATTGTTTACCAACTGAGGATCATTGAAAATGAAATGTCATACATTTGTTTAACACAGGGTACAGGGTATTATTATGCTGGAAGTTACAGGTCGTCTGGAAAGGAAGTTGATTATAGGGTAATACGGAGTTGTATTTATCTACTATATTGGTAACAAACAAGGAAACAATCGGAACTCAATTGTATAAGAAATATGTTGATTAAAACAAAAGCAAAAAAAAAATTTTTTTTTTTTTTTTTTTTTTGGAATAATAACATGTTCTGCCATTCAAACACGTAGAATACAAACATCATTTCACGCCCACCCACCCAACATCCTTAAAAGCAGTTTCACATCCAATGATTTTGAAAATTAATTTCTTTCATTTAACAACTCTAACAGAAAACCACCCATTAATATCTGAATCAGAGGTTACTCATCGCCGAAATGATACACATGGGTATACATGTATACTGGGTGGTTATGACGGTAAGAACTCAAGATTAATGCAAACTAGATCTGTTATGTAGGAGGTATTGTTACACAGATAACTCTTATTACACAAAATTAATAGAATTCTTTTTTCATAAAATCTACAAAAGAATCTTCTCATCAGCAATTACAGGAAATAATAAAAACATGTATTTACCTGTAGCTCTTAATGTTCTGTCAGATATCACAAAAATGTATTTACCTGTAGCTCTTAATGTTCTGTCAGACATCACAAACATGTATTTACCTGTAGCTCTTAATTTTCTGTCAGTACCTTCCGTACAGACTACAGTTCCGTGAAGACATTTACACGTGTCAAACAGAATCTTCTCATCAGCAATTACAGGAAATAATAAAAACATGTATTTACCTGTAGCTCTTAATGTTTTGTCAGATATCACAAACATGTATTTACCTGTAGCTCTTAATGTTTTGTCAGATATCACAAACATGTATTTACCTGTAGCTCTTAATGTTCTGTCAGATATCACAAACATGTATTTACCTGTAGCTCTTAATTTTCTGTCAGTACCTTCCGTACAGACTACAGTTCCGTGAAGACATTTACACGTGTCAAACCCGTCCACGGCGGGGAACGTTTTCCCGTCACGATATTTCTTCCCGTCGTATGTGCAAGTCTCTGGAAAAATAATCGTTAAATTTGTTCTTTTTCGAAAAGCTTTTTTTCATGGAACGACGTTGATATTTGTACAAAATAATGTGTCAAAATATTCTAAAACAGGTGATTAACTTTTTGATATTTGTGAACAAGACAGTTTTCTGTTCTTTGAATAATTTAAGTCTTAAGGCAGGATTATGCCAGCATACTTACTTTTCCTGCTGTCGTTGATGTCCCTTTCAGAGACACTTTCCGTACAGACTACAGTTCCATGAAGACATTTACACGTGTCAAACCCGTCCACGGCGGGGAACGTTTTCCCGTCACGATATTTCTTCCCGTCGTATGTGCAAGTCTCTGGAAAAATAATCGTTAAATTTGTTCTTTTTCGAAAAGCTTTTTTCATGGAACGACGTTAATAGTTGTACAAAATAATGTGTCACAATATTCTAAAATAGTTGGATTAACTTTTTGATATTTGTAAACAGGACAGTCTTCTATTCTTTGAATAATTTAAGTCTTAAGGCAGGATTATGCCAGCATACTTACTTTTCCTGCTGTCGTTGATGTCCCTTTCGGAGACACTTTCCGTACAGACTACAGTTCCGTGAAGACATTTACACGTGTCAAACCCGTCCACGGCGGGGAACGTTTTCCCGTCACGATATTTCTTCCCGTCGTATGTGCAAGTCTCTGGAAAAATAATCGTTAAATTTGTTCTTTTTCGAAAAGCTTTTTTCATGGAACGACGTTAATAGTTGTACAAAATAATGTGTCACAATATTCTAAAATAGTTGGATTAACTTTTTGATATTTGTAAACAGGACAGTCTTCTATTCTTTGAATAATTTAAGTCTTAAGGCAGGATTATGCCAGCATACTTACTTTTCCTGCTGTCGTTGATGTCCCTTTCGGAGACACTTTCCGTACAGACTACAGTTCCGTGAAGACATTTACACGTGTCAAACCCGTCCACGGCGGGGAACGTTTTCCCGTCACGATATTTCTTCCCGTCGTATGTGCAAGTCTCTGGAAAAATAATCGTTAAATTTGTTCTTTTTCGAAAAGCTTTTTTCATGGAACGACGTTAATAGTTGTACAAAATAATGTGTCACAATATTCTAAAACAGTTGGATTAACTTTTTGATATTTGAGAACAGGACAGTCTTCTATTTTTTGAATAATTTAAGTTTTAATGCAGGATTATGCCAGCATATTTACTTTTCCTGCTGTCGTTGATGTCCCTTTCGGAGACACTTTCCGTACAGACTACAGTTCCGTGAAGACATTTACGCGTGTCAAACCCGTCCACGGCGGGGAACGTTTTCCCGTCACGATATTTCTTCCCGTCGTATGTGCAGCTCTCTGGAAAAATAATCGTTAAATATGTTCTTTTTCGAAAAGCTTTTTTCATGGAACGACGTTGATATTTGTACAAAGTAATGTGTCAAAATATTCTAAAACAGGTGATTAACTTTTTGATATTTGTGAACAAGACAGTTTTCTATTCTTTGAATAGTGTAAGTCTTAAGGCAGGATTATGCCAGCATACTTACTTTTCCTGCTGTCGTTGATGTCCCTTTCAGAGACACTTTCCGTACAGACTACAGTTCCGTGAAGACATTTACACGTGTCAAACCCGTCCACGGCGGGGAACGTTTTCCCGTCACGATATTTCTTCCCGTCGTATGTGCAGCTCTCTGGAAAAATAATCGTTTAATATGTTCTTTTTCGAAAAGCTTTTTTCATGGAACGACGTTGATATTTGTACAAAATAATTTGTCACAATATTCTAAAACAGTTGGATTAACTTTTTGATATTTGTGAACAGGACAGTCTTCTATTCTTTGAATAGTGTAAGTTTTAAGGCAGGATTATGCCAGCATATTTACTTTTCTTGCTGTCGTTGACATCCCTTTCAGAGACACTTTCCGTACAGACTACAGTTCCGTGAAGACATTTACACGTGTCAACCCCGTCCACGGCGGGGAACGTTTTCCCGTCACGATATTTCTTCCCGTCGTATGTGCAAGTCTCTGGAAAAATAATCGTTAAATATGTTCTTTTTCGAAAAGCTTTTTTCATGGAACGACGTTGATATTTGTACAAAATAATGTGTCACAATATTCTAAAATAGTTGGATTAACCTTTTGATATTTGTGAACAGGACAGTCTTCTATGCTTTGAATAATGTAAGTTTTAAGGCAGGATTATGCCAGCATACTTACTTTTCCTGCTGTCGTTGACATCCCTTTGTGAGACACTTTCCGTACAGACTACAGTTCCATGAAGACATTTACACGTGTCAAACCCGTCCACGGCGGGGAACGTTTTCCCGTCACGATATTTCTTCCCGTCGTATGTGCAGCTCTCTAAACAGCGAAAAATACAACAAATAGATATACCTGGGCCTAGATGTTCAATAGAAGGAAAGCAGTTGATTTATTAGTTTCTGTACCAAAACTCAATACGAAATTGTTATTTTCTTGTTTTTCACATACGATGACATATTGATAATTATTTGGATGTTTATGTATGGTTTTTATGTTTAAATCGACATACTATAAATATATGGTGCAGATAACGAGAAAAGACACCATGGGATATGTAGCAAAAGAGCACAGAACGAAAAGGATAATTATCCGAACTTGTGCTTGGCAGAGATCTGTTTATGTTATATCCATTATTCCTGAATATGTAGTATGCTCGCGTACAAAACGATCACATGTTGGAAAACAACCAATCGATTTAGTTCGAAAATACAGGAATAATGTTGAGAAGGTGACGCCTCAACTTTTCAACGACAGATAGGGTTAATAAGACGTATCTAAACTGAGATCACGTACTGAGGTTTTAGGCATCCTTCAACGGACAATATATCTAAGGTCAATGTTTCTTGGTCGTGTAAGTTTCATTTTCGTCATGCCCGAATACTTCTGGACGTTACTGTTCAGAACAGGTAAAAAGTGCTGACTGAACATACTCTTATCTCCTCATGTTGGAGGTCAAAGGTAAAAGGTCAATTTGATAGAATATTATATGAGTAAAGGACTAGGGGCGTTAGGGTTATCTCCGGCCTCATCAAGGTTTTAGAAATAGTTGTGATATTCGTAATCTGGAATAAATGAAGTACGCAAATATAAAATTTAAAATTCATTCAACAACTGGTTAGGAAGATATGGCTTTGATGAGACATAAACCCGCAATTTCATAACAAAATGCATAGATATCGTCTGTTTGATTTTCGGTTGGAAATTGACCGCTTTGAAGAAAAGAAACTAAACACTCTTCAAGTTTTGAAAGCCTCCGCATGCAACTAATAGATACATATTTGACATGCTTAAACATTGTCATACCAGTATATATTTGACATGGTTAAACATTGTCATACCAGTATGTATTTGACATGCTTAAACATTGTCATACCAATATATATTTGACATGCTTAAACATTGTCATACCAGTATATATTTGTAGAAAGGATTTTTTGTTTGTCACATGCGGAGGCTTTCATTTCTGCATGCTAAGTGTCCAAAAACACCATATTTTTGCTATTTCTGCATAGCAACGCAATTTATATGCTATGGTAGTGTATACGCATGCGCATTGGAAAAATTATTCACCAAGAAAGTTAGCAACAATTAACCAATATGATGTTGTTTATAACAAAAATTGGTCTGTAAATTCAAGTTGATTTTTTTTTTACTTTTGACTATATTTGGACAATCTTATTAGTGGTTTATTTATCAGTAAATTAGCAGCTGATGATGTTTAATTTAATATCAAATCACTTTCTATGTTGATAGCTAAAACAGTAAATGATAGTAAATGATTCTACAACCTAGTTATATGTATGTTAGTGTTTTGGCGATATTCTGTCGCATGTAAAATATTTAATACCCACCCCTCGCGTAGACGGAGAACCAAAGCAAGATGAAAAATAACAATAAGGTCTTCATTCTGTTATCTGATCCAATAATATGCTGACTTGAACGACAGTGCCATATATATGTCTTCAGTAAGCGTCTTATCAATTGTGTCAGTGGTATGGAACACCGCCGACGCAACAGAGTCAGAGAGATATATTGTAAGTTAAATTAGTTTTATAAACGGTAACACTGGTTTAATGAAAAAACATGGTCTTTATAAACAAACGTTGCTTTATGGACAGAAACAATTAACAGAAATATGAATTTGGGAAAAAAAACGTCCTTTTCAGGCATTCAAAAACAAAAAACATTGTCTTTATGAAACGAATAATTGGTTGAATGGACAAAAGCATTGTTTTAATAGGCAGAAATATTGAATGACAGCTTTCAGGGTTGAAATAATTGGCTGTGTTTACAAGATCATTGATTTTATTTGATTTACAAAAACATTGGTTTTATTGTCAGAAAAACGGTTTAATGGACAAAACTTAAATCAAGATCAGATATATTATTTTCAGAAATGGAAACATTGGTTTCATCAACATAGATTTATGAACAATATCAAAGGACATAACACCGAAATGGAAACATGATTTTACAATGCTTTTAACAAAAGTTATCAAACTTTACTTCAAATAAATATCTTACTAAGGGAATTGGGTAGTCAAACGTTTTTCCTTCGGGAAGTTTGGAGTTCACTGTAATATTTTCTATTTTCTTTTGGTCATGTGTTTCCATACAAACCACACTAACAGACAAAAATGTGTCATTTATTACAGATTGTGTGACCTAATCGGAACATATGTGTTAGGCTTGAATATGTACAGGCCTGCCCATGAGATTTAGCAGTCCGACATGTTTTAAGCCAAGGTTAGATAAACGGTACCGTTTCTAACGGAAGTCAATATTTTTCTAGTCGGAGAGTGAACTACAAGTACAATTTGTAAGTTATAAATCAGTAGAAGATGACTGACAAGACGGTAGTTGTATACTGGACATTGCCGGTCCTAATTGTACAAAGGGAATGTCCAATTAGAAATAAAAATAAATATAAAGGTTTGATTAACAAATTATTTGGATTTTTACTTTGCCTGTCAGGATTGTTGTTATTTGGTGATTAAAGTATGAGTCTGAAATGTAGAAGAGGCGTTAATATACCAAAAATACGAAATAAAAGTTTAAAATGAAAAGTTGTAATTTTTAAGCAGAATCGATATAAAAATTATGGAACTAGACAAGAGGTCTGTTGGAAAACCCGTGTGCGTAATCGCAGAGGCGATTTCATATCGGTGACCCAAATACCATGTTTTTTTACCTGTTTAAAAGTAAAAATTCTCAATTTTAATCCAACCTGACATTCAATAGGAGTGCCGTGAATATTCAATTTTATAAAAATATGTCTATAATTGCTTTGCTATAAATAAGTGTTATTTCACACTGGTCTGACACATTCTGTTGTAGATTTTTGTTGTTAGAATGCAAAAACATAATAGTTATGTTTAGACTCATATTCATCATGATTGAAACAGTTTCGTTTTAACTTAATTAACGTTAGTGCAGGCAAATTTGTCACATAAGTAAGGGTTTCAGTTAGTAATTCGTCCAAATACAGATATATTCAAATGCCGACAAGCACCAGTACAAAAAGAAATTTGACTGGAATGCTTATAAATAAACATTATTGTAAAAACGCCAGAATGACGTCACGGAGCAACATTTGTGACGTCATCAGGCCGTGGTTTTGCTCAAAGGTGCAGGCAGTTTCGCCACCTTCAAACATTTCACTTATGTAACATTTTGTATGTTTATATACACAAGTCGTACTGGTACAAACAGCTCCAAATGTGTGTGTGTAACGATGATTTACATTGAAATAAATGGCTTTTCTTAGTTGTGATAGTTAATTCTCAGTAAATTGAAGTAACTGATAAATGCTGTTTGAGAAAGATGGCTGGGACCGGATGTGAAGAGGTCAATTTACATGAATCGGAATGAAGACTCAGTCCTGAACAAATATAAACTCCAAATCGGTGCCGAAAGTTATTTTTCATAATCGGGTCCGGATGAGAGGGTCCAGGGCTTTCAACGGTCGTCTTTTCCTCCAACATTTGGATACTTTGTCGTCACATATATATCTCCGATCGTCTTGCACATCAACTGAAAATAAAACGATGTTTTGGCTTGAAACCTGATTTAATAGAGACTGTCCCAGGTGTTGTAAATGTACTTACTTTTTCATTCATAGATAAGTCTTTGGTAATAACGCTGTAGTTAAAGATGGCCGTCTCTACGTACAATCATCATACGATTGTACAGCAGTACTACCAGTCCGACAATAAATTCTTTTCATGTATAAATCTAGAACATTTCTTGATGGTGTTTCGATAAAAGTGTTGTAAGGTGGCTGAATGTTAGACACAGTCAATACTTTAAAAAAGATACTGGTTGATCCTTTTCTAAATACACATTGCATGAAAATGGAAAATGAGTTATCAAATCTTCCCGAGCGTCATAACAGTAAACAAGTATTGGGTAGTCAGTACATTGTATGCAAAAAAAGTGCACTTGTAGAAAAACAATGTGTTAACCCCACTTTAACCCTTCGGGATCCACTTGGTGTTCATGGCAATGTTAAATATCCCGCACAGCTAAACCCTAAAACTATATCTTTATGTGGACAATTTAAGGATCCCCGTCTCGCTGTAGGCAAAACACTAGAGTATTCTACAATGTTTTTCGTTTTTTTTTCAATTTAAGATAATTTATTGTTTCCAAAATAAAAGGATGAGACGCAAGGCATAATCCTTTGTAAGTCTTCTCCACTTCCGGTTACAGGATGTGGTACAACATTTCCGGTTACAGGATGTGGTACAAGTACATTCAACACAGGAGTTATGATGGACAGGTAATACAGATTGACTTTTTAAGAGTATGATTAGTTTTGGTAATAGTGAGTCGAATTGTTAAATTTATTGAGGTTTGAAAAACTGTAACTTGAGAATGCAATAACATAAACTGTAGAAAGTTAAGATATGTAAAGGTATAACAATTACAACCATACACAATGATAGTTCCACACTATTGTACAATACCAATTAACACAAATACTCACTTCCCTAAATACACACAATACATTCTAATGTATAAAAACACAGATACTAGTTACACACAGATTGTACAATACCATTTAACACAAATACTCACTTCCCTAAATACACACAATACATTCTCATGTATAAAAACACAGATACTAGTTACACACAGATTCATCACTCACACCCTAAGTACTCATTATAGACATATATTGATATAAACCATTATATATAATATGCATTATCGATCTAAAACTAGTTCACAAGGGTAAACACAATGGATATACCTACACACATACACATGTTGATACACTCACTGATACACCCTCGTACAACTCTAAATATACACTTATAATAACACACAACTATAAATGATACTAGTCTCTGTATACAAACATGTCTATCTTCTGGCAGTGTAAATAGCATCAGATGTAAAGTAATAACCTACTCACAGATAGTACATTGATATGTAACACTCTAAATAGATTTGATTACTATAGAAGATTACAGACATGTAATTAGAAAAGGTTATAAGATGTACAAAGAGTCTGTGTAGGTCAACATGGGTATTTAGACATAATGTAATTTGCTAGAATAATAACTACATCAACTTTTTAGGACTAAGGATGCATGTAGATACATGATCTAGTATGCATTGATTGTCATCGATGGAGAGTAAATGACTCCCTTTAATCAGTATATTAGCTGAAATGTAGCCAATTCTGTTATATATTAAAAAATGATGGAGTAATGAAGAACACCCTCAGATTGATGTCCACAGGTACATTGATAGTTATCAATAAGGTGATCACAATGCTTAACATAATTAAGATTACTTACTCAATGTTTTAGCTGGTATAATAAAAGTTAAGCATATATATAACATTATCATCGTAGGAGGATGACAACTTTTATAAGTTGACAAGGAGAGTGATTCTGTTATTTCATTGTGTAAGGGAAAAACACTATTTTGAAAGAAATTTGTTCTGGCAAATAGTATTTGAAAGTATCTGTGATCTCTTATTTTATAAGTATAATTTTGATTTTAATTAGTTAAACGTTCTATTATTTCATAAAGATAATTTGGTGTCATGTGGTTAATAATTTGTATAGTAGTATCAGACTGTGACTGTTTCTTCTAACTTGTAGCTTGTCAAATTCGGATTCATTATATAATTAGCAATGAGATGTACGTTTACGTAGACCACTAATTATTATCATGGCTTCTAATTGAATATTTTCAATTTAATTAATTTGGGTTATAGAACAGTTATTCCAGACAACGTCAGCATATTCTCATATAGGTCTTATAAAAGATTTATATCTTGTTCAAGAGTTTTTCTATCAACTTAAAAAAAAACATTCAGAGAAGATTAAATCTTGCATATGCTTTTTCACAAGTTATATTAATATGATTGTTCCATGTCCCAGGTTTATTTAAATTTAGACCTAAGTGCTTATAAGATTCACTATAAGTTATGATGGGATTATTAAAAGTGATAGGTGGGTGGTGAACATTTCTTCTGGAAACAGTAAGCCCTACTGTTTTGTTAGGGTTAAAATTTATATACCATTTATTAGCCTAATTATTAATTGAATCGAGATTTTTATATATTATACCATTGAGTAGAATACATTCCAAAAGCCAGCCCTTGAATTGGTCGGTCTGTAAACACAACACACAATATATTTTTATTAGAATTTTGAACTTCTGATACAATGAATCCATTATTACTGCTCTCTAGATCAATAGGTCTGTCAACAACAAGATCATTGTTGGTATATACTAATACTCCACCACCAAGTCCACCGCTTCTTTATTTCCTTAGGGTGAGAGCTTAACTTAAGTCTGCTGTTCGAGATAGTATAATTTAAATGAGTTTCAGTGAAACAGAGGATATCATTATCTTAAAATTCAGTCTCCAACACATCAATCTTATTACGTAACGATGTTATATTAACATTGATAATAGATAAATAAATGAAATAATGGCGGTTATTGGAGAATTGACAAGGGGTTTGGTAAATTTCACCACATAGAAATGAGAGAGAGGCTTATTACAGTAGAGCAACACATATATTACTTATGTAACTACATACCTGATGGATAATGAGTATAATCTGTGAAACACACTAGTGGAAAACACACGATCATGACGCATTAACACTTAACGCACACAATAATTCAAGTAATCAAAAATAAAAAAAATAAGCAATACAAAAATACAAATACAATAGACCTGTTTTATCTTAAATACGTTAACCTCTCCTTAAGTTCTTTATGGATTTAGGGTTCGAATCTTACTAATTCAATCCCGTTACGTTTTTCACTTAGAAAACTGTTGTTGATTTATTTAAATATCATCTTTATTACTTTTCATAAATGTACTTCACACAAATATATTATTCTTTTTTAGAAATAATCTACATTTTAAGCTTTGTTCTTACCGGAGAAAGTTTTCAATGAATAATTACACTTTTTGACGTTTGCACATGGATCCTTAACAAAGGTGGCGGGGAATCCCCTACATTGAAAATCCCCAAACACTCCGACAATCTCTGTATCGAGATCTGTGGAGCTGGACTCTGGTGATTAGACTGTGAGTATCTTTTCATATATCTTTTGGTGTAAAACATATTTATTACTTTTGGAGCTTTTAGATATGTAGAAATAAAGACAAACAACAGGATGTGTCGAAATACAGATTGACAGTGACTGGTCTGACGTTTAATCAGTACTTATAGACTTACTGCGCAGTAGGCCTCTATGGTTTGTACACTGTTAATTGAATTATTTAGAAAAATATGAACCGTAATAGTTTGGATCGCTTGAATGTCTGTTTTTAGTGTCCTGAAAGTATGCGGAGATGAGCTATAAGTAAAATGTTGCTGAGGAATTATTCATAAACACACAGGGCTGGTAGCCATTCCTGAGTTATATTTGTAAACAGCGTGTAAACATGTTTCATATACACAATGCTACAACCGTGTGGGTTTTTACTTAACTGCCCTAGTTTAATTGTATTTTAACATCAACACTCGTGCCTCCTTTTTCATGGACTGAAAATTGCTGGTTTTAATATTATTTACGATGATTTTATATCTTATGTTTTTTACACATGAGTCATGCAAGTTTATCATGCGGGGGTGAATCAAACCTATTTATAGCTTTTACTGTTTACGTATGAACCCTGCTATATGTTTTATTAAATTACATGTTTGTTGACGTGTTTTTTACATCGTTGAATAAAATTAACATTCCAATTAGTAATAGAGGTTATACTCTTTCAGATGCAATTCAATTAAACATGATGTCAATATAGTATCGTCTGTTATGACTGCACACATACGTGATACTAGAACGCTATCACGTGATCGCATGTATTGCGAGGGGAATACCCTTTGTCAAGCAATGCTGTTTTTACATTACCGAGCTTAGGTAATGTAAAAACAGCATTACTTGACAAAGGGTATTTATATTTGACATACATATTTTATTTATTTGTGGTTTGCTACTATATTTATAATACTTAACTTCATATTCTAATTGTAATATTTATTGAAAAAAGTGGAACGGAATGCACAATACAATATCACACATTGATGTAGAGGACGAATTTCATTTTGTTCTTAAATGTCCATTTTATTCCGATTTACGCAATTCATTTATTAAACCTTTCTATATCAGACATACAAGTATGTGTAAATTCATTAAGTTGTTATCCACAGAAAATAAAAAATAAATAACTCATTTGGCCAAATATGTAAGAATCGCCAGTAGAAGACGAAAAATGAACTGAATTAAGTCAATTGTGTATCTAGTGTTTGTCAGTAATGCATTATTATGTCCTTATCATCAAATATTTTTCTATTATTAATTACATCATATTTAGCAGTGCAAGATATCTCTCGACACTTCTATGAGTAGGTGTGGAAGTGGTGTGTATGTGTTATGAGAAGTTCTTTTTACACAACCAATAAAAAAGAAAAGAAAAAGAACTTCTCATATTCCATACTTACCAACCTGAAGACAATGTTTAGACAGTGTGTGTATGTGTATTGTTGTTTAATTGTTCACTTTATGTTACACTGTATATATACACAACTGATGAGCTGTAAAGCTTAAGGAAATAAATGAACTTGAACCTTAAGATGTGAAAAAGTGATTTTTTAGCAGTTAATTTTCCTGCCTATTCGACCTTACTTGTCCTTAAATTTCACAGAAAAAAAAGTTTTACATAATTATTACAGGAGATGCATTAAATACAATTTCCTTGTTGAAACGTGAAAGTGTTATTATTATTATTATATCAAATACATACTCTATAGGAATATTATGTAATACATCAATACCACATGGCATATAAGTCTGATGACCAAATATCAGACCGAGGGCTTAAGCATTGGTCGATAGCTATAAGGCATGTCATATATATTTTACAATGTTTACTCTTTTTATCGTTTATTGTCATATTGCAACTTAGATCTAATGATGATTTAAATATACACAACTTTGGCGATACACATTAAGTTTTAATGTGAATAACAACTTAACCTTCGGTTTATTAATTCAAATGATATCACTGGACTCGAAAACGTTCAGCTAATGTATCCTGAGTGGGAATCGCTGTCTGTAACGCGTACTCTATTTCTCTGGTCGTTGCTATTGTGGTCGTCCTTAAGTATCGTGTTTCCATCAATAGTGGCACCAGAACAAGCTAGCCAACTCCAAGAATTCTGTTAGCAGTGTGACGGGGGTGACTTCTCTTTCTTTCGTTGGCGGGTTACCTTTCCCATCATCAGGAGAAATCTCTTCAAATTGTTCTATCTCATTAAGCATTTATTGCATTTCATCTTGTAGTGATTGTAAATGATCTTTGGACATGTTGTTTAGAACTGATGACTAAGATGCCGATGTCGCTTTTGTCGACAAGCTACATGAAGCTGTAAGACATGTTCTTGTTGCCCTGAGTATTATTTCGATGCCATGAGTGTTATTTATATGCACTGAGTGACATTTCTGTACCCTGAACATTATTTTGTTATCGTGAGTGATATTTCTATGCCCTGAGTGACATGTCTATGCCCTGAGTGTTATATATACGCACTGAGTGACATTTCTGTACCATGAACATTATTTCGTTATCGTGAGTGATATTTCTATGCCCTGAGTGACATGTCTATGCCCTGAGTGTTATATATACGCACTGAGTGTCATTTCTGTACCATGAGTGTTATTTCTATGTCCTGAGTGATATGTCTATGCCCTGATTGTTATATATATGCATTGAGTGTCATTTCTATATCCTGAATGTCATTTTTTCACCATTGGTGTTATTTCTATGCCCAGCGTTTTTTTTTTATGTTTATGCCCAGAGCATTTTTTTACCATGAGTGTTATATCTATGTCCTGAGTGTTATTTGTAAGCCCTGAGTGACATTTGGATGCCCCGAGTGACATTTCTAAGCCCTGAGCATTATTTCGTTATCGTGAATGATAATTCTATGCCGTGAGTGACATGTCTATGCCCTGAGTGTTATATATATGCACTGAGTGTCATTTCTATATCATGAATGACATTTCTATACCATGAGTGTTATTTCTATGCACAGAGGGTTTTATTTCTATGCACAGTTTTTTACCATGAGTGTTATATCTTAGCCCTTAGTGTTATTTGTACGGCCTAAGTGACATTTGTATGCCCCGAGTGACATTTATATGCCCTGAGTATCATTTCTGTACCCTGAACATTATTTTTTTATCGAGAGTGATAATTCGTTTATATATGTGTTATATATATATGCACTGAGTGTCATTTCTATATCCTGAATGACATTTCTACACCATAAGTGTTATTTCTATGCCATGAGTGACATTTCTAGTTCTATACCCAGAGGTACATTTCTGTACCCCGAGTGACATTTCTATACACTGAATGTCATGTATATGCCTTTAGTGTTATTTTTGTGCCCTGGGTGACGTTTGTATGCCCTCAGTATAGTTAAAATCTCTTTACCCCTATTTCAAGAATATGATTCTTAAGGATTTATGTATATTTACTCTATCGGGCACTGTTCATCTTCCCCAAAAGGCCACAACCTCCATTTATGCAACGCTAATTCTCCTTGACCCAAGATATTCCAGACCAACTCTGCCCAAAAGGTTACCACACCTTCAGTTATACAAGTTGAGCCATCTTAGCCCAGTTATGCTCTACACCAAATCATTGAAAATTTATTTAGCCATTCTAGTAGATTTTCTTTAGTGAAAAGGTGCCAGACGAGAGACGGAAGCCGATGGACGGCGGATCATGCCATAAGCTCATTTGTTCATCAGGCAGATGAGTTAAATCAAGCGATTTTAATGGCGAATGTTTTGATTGTTATTTCAGCTGGCATACATCGTATACAGGTTATTAAAGCACAAGCGGTAAAATGATTACATTGTTTGTTTGTTTTTCTGGGGCGGAAAAAAAGTGTGACTGTAGAAATATGGTTCTTTGATTTTACATAGATTCGGTCTTGATCCACCATAGACACCATTTCTCATCTTCATTGCTTTCTATTTGTGATTTTCAAGAATCTTTTTCCAGTAGAACTAGCTTTCATCTCAACATTCCCTACCAGATTTGAATGCCACTCCTTTGACAAATGTATTGTGTTGTTAGTGAACATTGTGCTGGCTAGGATTTCCTGAAGGCGAAAAATGATAACAAATCACTATAAATAAAATCAAGAATCGAAGAATTTTAATTACACATTAGATTTCATACATTAACAGCGATTACGTTTTAGATCCCTGTCCCATTGGACTGCCATTTTTCCTCTATGAGTAGCCTCCCCTTGACATCAGTTTAGACATACCAGCAGCAAAGTTAGGCCAGGATACTTCTGTGGAACAGATAGCGATGGAGGTCCAGAGTTATGTTGAAAGTTGACACTCGGAACACTTGTTGATTACATTTGTTTATTTCATCATTGTTATTTCCCATAGATGTCCCGCAATGTATCATTTCCTTTTCAGAAATTATTTATCAATGTCATAATCTTGGCGGAGGAAACATATTCCTGTACTTAATTACAATGTTAGGCATAGGGGATTCTTGTAATCAGTATACTGAATACGTTTTGCAGTTATCTCCCTTCATTCAAACTTGAAAAGAACAGATGTATTATTGCGTGAACTGACTAATTTTGATTGTACAGCCTTGTTAGCTTTCATGAAGATATGTTTGTATTATTTCTTTGCGGTAAACATTTGTATTATCCAGCATTCCAAGAAAGACAACTCGATAACACACAGACACACCCTCATTCACTCACACACGCCCACACACACACACACACACACACACACACATCCCTTCACCATGTCCCGATATAGACGAATGTTTCTTTGTGGATTTAAACTATGTTCTTTTAAAGTCAAGGTTATTATCACAACAGTTCTTAAGAAAAGCAAGCCAAAACATTATATATGTTTACAAAGGACCGTTCACTGATATCAGGATGGTTCATGGAACACTTAACTAATACATCTTCGAGACAGGTGCAAACAATTGAAGATATCTGTTCTATTATTCAAAGATAGATGCAATTC